GGGTGTGTGTTGGCAATTTTTTGAAAACAAATGAGAAATTGTGTGTGGGGTGGGGGTAGTGATCAATCTGGGAGGTCCCCTAATGTTTAACTGAAACTATAATATAAATTTTAATTACTTATTATTTCAATTATTGCACGGACACAACGTGACATTATTACCCATAGGAATAATTTATTGCTTATGGTTGCTCTTCCTAAGCTCAGGTCAAGAACATGTATTTCTCATTTTAGTATCAACAGTGTCTCGGATGTTTCTCCTAAAATTCCTTAGGAGAAATAAAAGTAGACACAACTGAGACATGAGAAATATCTGAGAGAAAGGAGTCCAAAATGAGAATGGACTGTGAGAAACATAGGAGATCTCTTTATTGTCTTGCTGTAATCTCTTTCAAGACCCCATTATAATAATGTTTTACAGGTTGCTCTTTTTTTTTTCTTGATTACATTGGGTTTTTTCACCTTTAATGGTCAGGACAGTAGGAGTAGAGACAGGAAACTATTGGACAGGTGAGAAGGGAACAGGAGCAGGAAAGTACCTTTAGCTGGGACTCAAACTCATGCTGTCTGAGGTGCAGTTGTGCCTTCGCATGGATGTGCTGTCCACAAGGCTATGGCTCTGACTAGGGTTGGGTATCGATTGGGTTTTTCACGATACCGGTGCCAAATCGATACTTTTAAAACGGTACCGGTGCCTAAATGGTGCCTGAACCGATACTTTAAAAAAGGAGGCACAAAAAAAACGATGGATAACATTAATGAACATTAAAAATATTTAAAATAAATATACATAGCATGCACATGCTCCTCGGATGCTCTCATTTCCCGAGTTGTGCTTCCATGTGAGAGATCCAGTGTCTCTATCTAAGGAGAAAAATCTGAGCACAGTGTGTGATGTTGTTGAGATATTTTCTAAAGCTTTGAATGAGACAAATGTGAGAGTTAGATTTTTTGTCTCCGGAGACAAGTTTGAGAAGCAGGAGACTCAACCAAAAATCTCCATTCGATCTCTAGGAGAAAAATCAGAGCACAGTGTGTGATGATGATGAGGTCTCTTCTAAAACTTTAAATGAGACAAATATGAGACTACCAGAGTCTTTACTTTAGGAGAAAAATCTGAGCACAGTGTGTGATGTTCTTGAGATCTTTTCTAAAGCTTTGAACAAGACAAATGTGAGAAATCCAGTGTCTCTAGCTAAGGAGAAAAATCTGAGCACAGTGTGTGATGTTGTTGAGATCTCTTTTAAAGCTTTAAAGGAGACCATTGTGAGATTGTTAGATTTTTTTGTCTCAGGAAACAAGTTTGAGAAGCAGGAGACTCAAGCAAAAACCTCCATTCGATCTTAAAGTAAACTCATTTCTGTCTAGGAGAAATATTTGAGATGTTAAAGAGATCTCACTTTTGATTTTTCTTTTCTATGGGTAGTTGTTTTAAGTAATTCCTCTGAAATCCGTAAATGCGAGTGATACTGGAGTATATCCTGATTTTCACCTCAAATTATATATTTTTTATATTTAGCCTATATTCACACAATAGCAGAATACGTTGTCAGCTCTAAATTCTGCTGTGTTCACACACAGTTTGCTTATACTGTAAACTAGAGTCACGCCCGTATTTTACAACCGAACTGACTTCCTGAAATTTTCAGAACTCACAATCACGTTGTTGATAAATCTGTGACTTGTGAGCGGAACCACATTGAAGCGGAAGTTGTCTATGTGTCGTTCAATGCCACTAATATTTGCATAAAATGTGTAAAATGGAAAATATTTAGTTTCTATTAAGTACACTGTTTCTTTTTATTGTTCTTTATTTGTTAGTATAACAAAATTTCTACTCATGTTATAGCCAGAATAAAATGGTAATATTGTCAAATTAGGTTTAGTACATTCTCACTGATTATGTGTTTGTTTATTTAGCTATATATTCTATTCTCAGAACTTTGGATTCCATTTAATCCAGTCTGAAACCCCCCTGGCCTTGAAGTGCATTGAATGATATATTAGTGTAGGGTAGGGTTAAGTCATAGATAATGTTAGCATATAAATACAGTAAAAGTCAATGGAAAATCTCAACCATGTTAACAAAACAAAACGTGTGTTAACATGTGCCTGCTTATGCAATTTTAGTACAATGGAGAGGTGAGATTTTCAGTCCTGTCAACAATTAATTACAAATCAGATGTATGTGTGTGTGTGTGAGTGTGTGTGCGTCACAGCCCAAATATCAGCTCTGAAACTGAGTTCAGTTCCCAGCGGTGGCCTAAACAGACAGTACATTTCTCTGAAGTGTTCCTGAACACACAGGTCACACGCTGCTCTCATTAATTAAACCACAGCACAATCTGAACAGGTATTCGAACGAAATTGCTATTCACAATTATTTATTAAATTGACCAATGAACTGCATATGCTTAAGAAAATATAACAAATAAAAAAATAATCTCCCTCTCCCAGCAGGATGTTATGTTGTTCTTGGAGGCTCTCAGAAGAATCCTGCTATCAGAAGACTGGATCTGTTGTCTGGTGCCTCTTGGGTTCCTCAGTGTTATGGCCTGATTCCAGCGCAGATAAAATTGGGACTTACTGTAAACACTGATGACATGTCTTAGACATGAATAATTTACCAAAAGGTAAGTCTGTCAGTGTTTTCCTGCCGTTATGTTTGTGTATGTATGTATTTTTCTTCTGTGGAAGCCAAACGATGATATTTAGCAAAATGTTTCCATAAAATGAATAGGGGCTGTCAAACTTCAAAAATGACAAAAAATTCCTAAAAGTGGCTCATATTACTATAGAAACCATGTGATAACTTTGAGGAACAGACAGAGATTGAATTCCATAAAGGCCCATTCACACCAAGAACAATAATTATAAAGATAACTATAACATTAACTAGGCCTATATTTGCATCCACCAATGCATGATAACGTTCTGTTTATAATAAGCGTGAGCTGCAGCTGTAGTTATGTTATCTGCTGCTTTAAATGCCCAAGCTCTTAAAGCAGGATGGATTCTGATTGGCTAACAATGTTTTTGTCATTCATCAGCTGGAGAAAAATCGCTCTGAAAGTGATTCCAGTGATATCGTTACTCTGTGGCATTATTGTTATAGTTGTGGTATGTAGCAACAGATCTTTTCTTCCATATTGTAACGTACATCAGAGTGAAACGGATTATTTAAAAAAAAAAAGAAACGTTTAGGGTGGGAACTTGGTTCTGAGGCAGATCTGAATGTGAGCTTGCGGTTGATTGGAAGAAAGGGACTGTTTTATGCAAAAGAAATGATTGGTGAAGTCTGGTATATACATTGCCAAAGAGAAGTTGTTTCATTAGAAGATCCAGTTATGATATTTTGGTTAAAAATGAAAAGAATGCATGCATGAATCGTTCACAGTAAAATCAATAACAAACATTTACTAAACTTATAGTTACATTTAATGCTAACTATAAGAGTTAACTATGCCAATTATCTACTTTTGTGTGTTACGGAAGAAAGAACAGCAGGTTTGGAATGACATAAGGGCGAATAAATGGGCAATGTTTCATTTTTGGGTGAACTATCCCTTTAACTGAACTGGATATTTACAAAACAGCAGCTGTAATTCTTAAGGAGGCAGGAGATGAAGTGCTCCAATGAAGGGCAACAGTTTGTAGAAGCAGGAGTTGAAGAATTGCCTCTAGAATAGGTTTTCTAGAATGATTAGCGTCCTGTATGCCTGCAGCCTCAATTAACAGCAAAAGACCCCCACATCACCCTCTATCTCGATCTCGTTAGCATTAGTTTGCATGTTGGCTGCAACAGCGTGTCTCTGGTCCTCTAGCGTCGGGGCTCTTAACGCTGTTAGCAGCTGGGATGATCTGATAGCTCGGGTGATTAAGAGGTTGCGTCTCTGCTGCGACACGCCGAGAAATTGCAGCACGGCTCTTATCTCTTCCCACG